TTTAAAAGGCAAGTGTTGAAGCATATGAGTTTGCTCATGAAGTTTTAACCATTCTTTATCAGGTAAGTGCACAAATTTTAGAATAAGGTAAAGGTTTTAGAATGAGATCGATATGTATGTTTCAACGGAAACGGAGGTACCACAAAAAACAAATGAGAGACCTTGGCGCTTGCGATAACTTATATGATTTAATAAGGCTATAATTTGGCGCGTTCATTGTACAGCTCTCTTTTGACTGTCATATTGAGTTGAACTGTGAAAGCGACAAGCGATCTTTATGGCTTAATTTTGCATTCTTTTGTCATATGCCTGTTGATCTTTATTTACTCTGACTATGATACCTTGTCTGTAAATCATTAATTTGTGCTGAAAAAGGAACATCGTTGTGGGTTCCGATGGCTTCATTTATTAAACATATTTATCAGGCATATATCCGTTTCTTTCTTCATCCGTTATCATTATGAACCTGTTTATGGGTTTTCGAAATGAATGATTTGAACGATAAAAGAACAGCTCTGCTGTTCAAATTTTGTTGCCCTTCGGTGGCGTTGCGTCTTGGCATTATGGTATCTGCAGTGCCATTGTCTGATTTCGATGTGTTAAACGACGATACAGTTTACACCTATTCTCTACTCGTTTACTTTAATCTTATTCTTAATCCTTCCCGAATCATTGTCCTTTGTATGAACGTAATCCGATGTCAATATTTTGTCCGCCGAATCAGCACTTACCGAATTTGAAGACCTCATTCCATCAAAAATGATTTTAAAGATTATATTCATCGCATTCTCCGGTTCCTCATCTGATGCGCATGTATGATTTCAATGCGGATATTTGAGTTTACACACGTTTCTCCCTGCTTACAGAATTGCATTGCTATTTTAATGCAGCGAAATTTATTTAATGGCGCGAGTGGTGTAATAAAGCTCCAAGAACAGTTTGCATGATCATCAATTACGACTGTTTAAGAGTTGTTTCCTTTCAGCAGCACCAAAATGTCGTTTTTCGCTTTCAGTGCCGAAACAGCGTACAAGAATCTGAAGCGTGTAGCCACCGACGTGCTGTCCGCTGTCCATCACCTGACACAAGTGTTCTGTGAAACGTCGTGTGTCGGCGTATCTGTGGCTCCACTGGACAACCAACCGTTGCCGGTCAGCGTTGTCCGGGACGTCCACACGGTCGAGCAGCCAATCGTCTTAAAAATAGAGACGCTGCACAACCTTCCTTTTGCCTGGTCAACTACGTAAAGCAACTACTCCATTAATTGACTCTGTGAATGAATTCGCAATTGTATTAAGCGTTCGGTAATGCATAAAGCAAAGCAACTGTTTACACCGCAGTATGATCAGATGTATTGTACTTATTAGGGAAATTTTTCGTTTGAAAGTATTTTATGATATTACTCTAACGCGTACTGGGAGCACAGGTAGAACTCTTTCGGTAATGAGCCAAGTGTTACTTTTGCTAGGTTGACGATGCTGTGTTACATCGTTACCTACGGCTTCTAAAATTTCATACCGCTTAGATACACCTCCTAGTTACTTCTATCGGTAGAGCCTTTGACTCTCGGCCAAACGCGTATTGAGTTCAGATTCAGGCCGGGCTATTCTCCTTCCATCTTTATAGAATAGGTAGAGGAGTGTACCTTCATGGGATGAAATCAGTGAACCGTGCTTTGTGCTGACTACCTTCACAGCGAACTTACTTTTGAATAGTTCCCTACCCATCATGATGGTGTAAGGTGGTGATTTGCATATCTGTTGTATTAACAGGTAATTGTGTACTGCTTCCGGTTCAGCATATATCATTCTCTGTACCACTGCATACTCATTACAATGCGTGTTGTAAATATATGATGTAGTGTCAGAGGTTTCTAACGCATTTTAGCCATTTATTTATCAACGTGGATAAACCAGTATGTTAAGATCTTTGTGCCGCTTAGTAACAGCTGGTTGTGAGGTTTCGTAAACAATAATGAACGATAAAGCCAGTCGTATATCA